GTTGCGCAGAGTGTTTTGACGCCAATTTCAATCAACTGGACAGTTGCACACGATGTTTTGGACATTCTTTAGCTTTCTAACTAAAGTGGCCAATTTCAAGCAAAACGTTAATTGCGCAGAGTGTTTTGACGGCAATTTTCAGCAACATGACATTTGCGCAGGGTGTTTTGAACGAGGTTTAGCTTTTTAACAAAAGTCACCAATTTCAAGAAAAACGACAGTTGCGCAGAGTGATTTGAGACCAATTTCGAGCAACAACACGGTTGCGCACGCTGCATTTTACAACTTTTATCTCAAGCAGAAAATCGATTTTCTTGGATATTATTGACCACACAAACCAATTTAGGTAAATTGAAAGTTGCGAGCCCTCTTTCCCACAGGCCTTCGGTCAAACGGCCAATTGCAAGCAACACGACAGTTGCGCAGCGGTGTTTTGGACAAGTTTAAGCTATTTAACCAAAGGCGTCAATTTCAAGCAAAACGACAGTTGCGCAGAGTGTTTTGACGCCAATTTCAATCAACTGGACAGTTGCAAACGATGTTTTGGACAAGCTTTAGCTTTTTAACAAAAGTCGTTAATTTCAAGCAAAACGTTAATTGCGCAGAGTGTTTTGACGCCAATTTTCAGCAACAGGAAAGTTGCGCAGGGTGTTTTGAACAATGTTTTTAACAAAAGTCACCAACTGTCCTGTTGCTTGCAATTGGCCGTTTGACCGAAGGCCTGTGGGAAAGAGGGCTCGCAACTATCAATTTACCTAAATTGGTTTGTGTGGTCAATAATATGGCCTCAAATCACTCTGCGCAACTGTCGTTTTGCTTGAAATTGGTGACTTTTGTTAAAAAGCTAAACCTTGTTCAAAACACCCTACACAACTGTCCTGTTGCTCAAAATTGGCGTCAAAACACTTTCCGCAATTAACGTTTTGCTTGAAATTGGCCACTTTTGTTAAAAAGCTAAAGCTTGTCCAAAACATCGTGTGCAACTGTCCAGTTGATTGAAATTGGCGTCAAAACACTCTGCGCAATTTTCGTTTTGCTTGAAATTGGCGACTTTGTTAAATAGCTAAAACTTGTTTAAAACACCCTGCGCAACTGTCCTTTTGCTTAAAATTGGCGTCAAAACACTTGGCGCAACTGTCGTTTTGCTTGAAGTTTGCGACTATTGTTAACAATCTAAAACTTGTCCAGAACATCGTGCGCAACTGTCCTATTGCTCGAAATTGGTGTCAAAACACTCTGCGCAACTGTCGTTTTTCTAGAAGTTTGGGACTATTGTTAAAAAGCTAAAACTTCTCCAAAACACCGTGCGCAACTGTCATGTTGCTTGAAAAGGGGGTCTAAACATTCTGCGCAACTAACGTTTTGCTTGAAATTGGCGACTTTTGTTAAAACGCTAAAATTTGTCCAAAACATCCTGCGCAACAGTGCTGTTGCTTGAAATTGGCCGTTTGGCTTTTCAACAAAAAAGGCCAATTTCAAACAAAAAAGACAGTTGCGCAGAGTGTTTTGACGCCAATTTCGAGCAACAGGACAGTTGCGCACGGTGTTTCACACAAGCTTTACCTTCCGAGCAATACAGGCCAATTTGAAGCAAAACGACGGTTGCGCAGAGTGATTTGAGGCCAATTTCGAGCAACAGCACGGTTGCGCACGCTGCTTTTTACAAGTTTTATCTAAAACAGCAAATCGAATTTCTTGGATATTATTGACCACACAAACCAATTTAGGTAAATTGAAAGTTGCGAGCCCTCTTTCCCACAGGCCTTCGGTCAAACGGCCAATTGCAAGCAACACGACAGTTGCGCAGCGGTGTTTTGGACAAGTTTAAGCTATTTAACCAAAGGCGTCAATTTCAAGCAAAACGACAGTTGCGCAGAGTGTTTTGACGCCAATTTCAATCAACTGGACAGTTGCAAACGATGTTTTGGACAAGCTTTAGCTTTTTAACAAAAGTCGTTAATTTCAAGCAAAACGTTAATTGCGCAGAGTGTTTTGACGCCAATTTTCAGCAACAGGAAAGTTGCGCAGGGTGTTTTGAACAATGTTTTTAACAAAAGTCACCAACTGTCCTGTTGCTTGCAATTGGCCGTTTGACCGAAGGCCTGTGGGAAAGAGGGCTCGCAACTATCAATTTACCTAAATTGGTTTGTGTGGTCAATAATATGGCCTCAAATCACTCTGCGCAACTGTCGTTTTGCTTGAAATTGGTGACTTTTGTTAAAAAGCTAAACCTTGTTCAAAACACCCTACACAACTGTCCTGTTGCTCAAAATTGGCGTCAAAACACTTTCCGCAATTAACGTTTTGCTTGAAATTGGCCACTTTTGTTAAAAAGCTAAAGCTTGTCCAAAACATCGTGTGCAACTGTCCAGTTGATTGAAATTGGCGTCAAAACACTCTGCGCAATTTTCGTTTTGCTTGAAATTGGCGACTTTGTTAAATAGCTAAAACTTGTTTAAAACACCCTGCGCAACTGTCCTTTTGCTTAAAATTGGCGTCAAAACACTTGGCGCAACTGTCGTTTTGCTTGAAGTTTGCGACTATTGTTAACAATCTAAAACTTGTCCAGAACATCGTGCGCAACTGTCCTATTGCTCGAAATTGGTGTCAAAACACTCTGCGCAACTGTCGTTTTTCTAGAAGTTTGGGACTATTGTTAAAAAGCTAAAACTTCTCCAAAACACCGTGCGCAACTGTCATGTTGCTTGAAAAGGGGGTCTAAACATTCTGCGCAACTAACGTTTTGCTTGAAATTGGCGACTTTTGTTAAAACGCTAAAATTTGTCCAAAACATCCTGCGCAACAGTGCTGTTGCTTGAAATTGGCCGTTTGGCTTTTCAACAAAAAAGGCCAATTTCAAACAAAAAAGACAGTTGCGCAGAGTGTTTTGACGCCAATTTCGAGCAACAGGACAGTTGCGCACGGTGTTTCACACAAGCTTTACCTTCCGAGCAATACAGGCCAATTTGAAGCAAAACGACGGTTGCGCAGAGTGATTTGAGGCCAATTTCGAGCAACAGCACGGTTGCGCACGCTGCTTTTTACAAGTTTTATCTAAAACAGCAAATCGAATTTCTTGGATATTATTGACCACACACACCAATTTAGGGAAATTGACAGTTGCGAGCCCTCTTTCCCACAAGCTTTAGGTCAAACGGTGAGAATATTTTTTCAGGTTTTTGTTTTCTCGTTTTTTATTAAAGATTTATGTTTTCCTCCTGTTTTTAACCAAAGGAGCACATTTTAAGCAAAACCAAAGTTGCGCATAGCGTTTTGATGCCAATTTAGCACAGGCTTTATGTCAAACGGCCAATTTCAAGCAACAGCACTGTTGCGCACGGTGTTTTGGACAAATTTTAGCTTTTTAACAAAAGTTGCCAATTTCAAGCAAAACGTTAGTTGCGCAGAGTGTTTAGACCCAAATTTCAAGCAACACGACAGATGCGCACGGTGTTTTGGACAAGTTTTAGCTTTTTAACAATAGTCGCAAACTTCTAGAAAAACTACAGTTGCGCCGAGTGTTTTGACGCCTATTTCGAGCAACAGGAAAGTTGCGCACGGTGTTCTGGACAAGTTTTAGATTGTTAACAAAGTGCGCAACAGTCCTATTGCTCGAAGTTGGCGTCAAAAAAGTCTGCGCAACTGTCGTTTTTCTTGAAATTGGTGACTTTTGTTAAAAAGCTAAACCTTGTTCAAAACACCCTGCGCAACTGTCCTGTTGCTGAAAATTGGCGTCAAAACACTCTGGGCAGTTAACGTTTTGCTTGAAATTGGGCACTTTTGTTAAAAAGCTAAAGCTTGTCCAAAACATCGTGTGCAACTGTTTAGTTGATTGAAATCGGCGTCAAAACACTCTGCGCAACTTTCGTTTTGCTTGAAACTGGCGATTTCAAGATTTTACCTTTCCAAAATCCTTAATTCAAGGTTTTCCTTGCTTTTAAGGCTTTTAGCTTTCCTAAATCCTGATTTCGGCAGAATTTAAGGATTTTAGCTTTGCAAAATCCTGAATTCAACATTTTTGCCGATTTCAAGATTATAGCTTTTCAAAATCCTCAATTCAAGATTTTGGCTGATTTCAAGATTTTAGCTTTCAAAAATTGACAATTCCAGATTTTGACCGATTTCAAAATTTTAGCTTTCCAAAATCCTGAACTTAAGATTTTTTCGATTTTGCGATTTTTGCTTTCGAAAATCCTGATTTCAAGATTTTAGCTTTCCAAAATCCTGAATTGAAGATCTTTACCGATTTCAAGATTTTACCTTTCTAAAATCCTAAATTGAAGATTTAGGCCGATTTCAAGAATTAACTTTCCAAAATCCTGAATTCCAGATTTTGGCCGATTTCAACATTTTAGTTTTGCAACATCCTGAATTCAAGATTTTTCCCGATTTCAAGATTTTAGTTTTCCAAAATTCTGAATTTAAGATTTTCGCTCATTTCAAGATTTTAGCTTCCAAAATACTAAATTCAAGATTTTGGCCGATTTCAAGATTTTAACTTTTCAAAATCCTTAATGTAACATTTTGGCCGATTTCAAGATTTAAGCTTTCCAAAATCCTGAATTCAAGATTTTCCCCGATTTCAAGATTTTAGCTTTGCAAAATCTTGAATTGAAGATTTTGGCCCATTTCAAGATTTCGACCGATATCAAGATTTAAGCTTTCCAAAATCCTGAATTCAAGATTTTGGCCCATTTCAACCTTTTAGTTTTGGAACATCCTGAATTCAAGGTTTTGGTCAATTTGTAGATTATGGCTTTCCAAAATCCTGAATTCAAGATTTTGCTCGATTACAAGATTGTAGCTTTGCAGAATCCTGAATTCAAGATTTTGGCCGATTTCAAGATTTTAGCTTTCTAAAATCCTGAATTCCAGATTTTGGCCGATTTCAAGATTTTACCATTCCAAAATCCTGAATTCAAGATTTTGGCCGATTTCAAGATTTTTGCTTTCCAAAATCCTGAATTCAAGATTTTTGTCCACTTCAAGATTTTAGCTTTCTAAAATGCTGAATTCAAGATTTTGGCCGATTTCGAGATTTTAGCTTTCAAAAATCCTGAATTTAAGATTTTGACCGATTTAAAGATTTTAGCTTTCCAAAATCCTGAATTTAAGATTTTGACCGATTTAAAGATTTTTGCTTTCCAAAATCCTGAATTCAAGATTTTGGCCGATTTCAAGATCTTAGCTTTCGAGAATCCTGAATTCAAGATTTTTTCCGATTTTAAGATTTCAGCTTTCCAAATCCTGAATTCAAGATTTTGGCCGATTTCAAGATTTTAGCTTTCAAATACTGAATTCAAGGTTTTGGTCGTTTTAAGATTTTAGCTCTCGAAAATACTGAATTCAAGATTTCGGTCCATTTCAAGATTTTAGCTTTCGAAAATCCTGAATTCAAGATTGCGGTCGATTTGAAGATTTTAGCTTTGCAGAATCCTGAATTCAAGATTTTGGCCGATTTCAAGATTTTAGCTTTAAAAAGTACTGAATTGAAGATTTTGGCCCATTTCAAGATTTTGACTTTTCAAAATCCAAACTTCAAGATTTTGGCCGATTTCAAGATCTTAGCTTTCCAAAATCCTGAATTCAAGATTTTGGCAGATTTCAAGATTTTAGCTTTGCAGAATACTGAATTAAAGATTTTGGCCGATTTCAAGATTTTAGCTTTTAAAATCCTTAATTCAAGACTTTTCAAAATTTTGGCCGATATCAAGAGTTTACTTTCGAAAATCCTGAATTCAAGGTTTTGGCCTATTTCAAGATTTCAGCTTTCTAAAATGATAAATTCAAGATTTAGGCCGATTTTAAGAGTTAACGTTCCAAAATCCTGAATTCAAAATTTTGGCTGATTTCAAGATTTTTGCTTTCAAAAATACCAAATTCAAGATTTTGGCCTATTTCAAGATTTTAGCTTTGCGGAATCCTGAATTAAAGATTTTGGCTGATTTCAAGATTTTAGCTTTCCAAATTCCTGAATTCAAGATTTTGGCCGATTTCAAGATTTTGGCCAATTTTAAGATTTTGGCTTTCCAAAATCCTGAGTTCAAGATTTTTCCCGATATCAAGAGTTAATATTTCCAAAATCCTTAATTCAAGATTTCGGCCGATTTCAAGTTTTTACCTTTCCAAAATCCTTAATTCAAGATTTTTGCCGATTTGAAGACTTTGCTTTTCCAAAATTTGTGAATTTAAGATTTTAGCCAATTTCAAGATTTTCACCGATATCAAGATTTAAGCTTTCCAAAATCCTGAATTCAAGATTTTGGCCAATTTCAAGATCTTAGCTTTCAAATACTGAATTCAAGAGTTTGGTGGATTTTAAGATTTTAGCTTTCCAAAATCCAGAATTAGAGACTTTGGCCCATCTAAAGATTTTAGCTTTCCTAAATCCAGAATTCTAGATTTTGGGCGATTTGATGATTTTAGCTTTCCAAAATCCAGAATTCAAGATTTTTTTATATTTTAAGATTTTAGCTTTCCAAAATCCAGAATTCAAGACTTTGGCCCATCTAAAGATTTTAGCTTTCTTAAATCCAGAATTCTACATTATCGCCGATTTCAAGATTATAGTTTTCCAAAATCCAGAATTCCAGATTTTGACCGATATCAAGATTTAAGCTTTCCAAACACTTGAATTCAAAATTTTGGCCGATTTCAACATTTTAGTTTTAAGACATCCTGTATTTCAGATTTTGGGCGATTTCAAGATTTTAGCTTTCCAAAATCCTGAATTTAAGATTTTGGCCGATTTCAAGATTTTTGCTTTCCAAAATCCTGAATTCAAGATTTTGGCCGATTTCAAGATTTTAGCTTTCAAATACTGAATTCAATATTTTGGTCGATTTCAAGTTTTTTGCTTTCAAATACTGAATTCAAGATTTTGGTCCATTTGAAGATTTTAGCTTTCGAAAATACTGAATTCAAGATTTCGGTCGATTTGAAGATTTTAGCTTTGCAGAATACTGAATTCAAGATTTTGGCCGATTGCAAGATTTTAGCTTTCGAAAATCCGGTTTTCAAGGTTTTGGCCGATTTCAAGATTTCAGCTTTGTAAAATCCTAAATTCAAGATTAAGGCCGATTTTAAGAGTTAACTTTCCAAAATCCTGAATTCAAGATTTTGAAGATTTCAAAATTTCAGCTTTTCAAAATCCTGAATTCAAGATTGTTACCGATTTCAAGATTTTAGCTTTCCAAAATCCTGAATTTAAGATTTTGGCCGATTTCAAGATTTTAGATTTTCAAAATCATGAATTCAAGATTTTGGCTGATCTCAAGATTTTAGCTTTAAAAAAATACTGAATTGAAGATTTTGGCCGATTTCAAGATTTTGGCTTTCCAAAATCCAACCTTCAAGATTTTGGCCGATTTCAAGATCTTAGCTTTCCAAAATTCTGAATTAAAGATTTTGGCCGATTTCAAGATCTTACCTTTTTAAAATCCGGAATTCAAGACTTTTTCAAGATTTTGGCCGATATCAAGAGTTTACTTTGCAATTTCCTGAATTCAAGATTGTGTCCGATTTCAAGATTTTAGCCTGCCAAAATTCTGAATTCAAGATTTAAGCCGATTTCAAGATTTTAGCTTTCCAAAATCCTGAATTCAAGATTTTGGCCGTTTTCAAGATTTTGTCTTATTTCAAGATTTTAGCTTTCGAAAATTCTGAATTCAAGATTCTTGCCGATTTCAAGATCTTAGCTTTCCAAAATCCTGAATACAAGATTTCGGACGAGTCCAAGATTTTAGCTTTCCAAAATCCTGAACTCAAGATTTTGGCCGGTTTCAAGATTTTAGCTTTCCAAAATCCTGATTTCAAGATTTTCGCCGATTTCAAGATTTTAGTTTTTTAAAATCCTTAATTCAAGATCTTGACCGATTTCAAGATCTTAGCTTTCCAAAATCATGAATAGAATATTTCGAACGATTTCAAGCTTTTGGCTTTTCAAAATTTTGAATTCACGATTCTGGCTGCTTTCTAGATTTTAGCTTTCTAAAACCCTGAATTCAAGATTTTGGCCGATTTCAAGATTTTAGTTTTTTAAAATCCTCAATTTAAGATCTTGACCTATTTCAAGATTTTAACTTTCCACAATCCTAAGTTCACGATTCTGGCCGATTTCAAGATTTTAGGCTTCCAAAATCCTGAATTCAAGATTTTTCGGACTATAAGATTTTAGCTTTCCAAAATCCTGAATTCAAGATTTTGAAAATTTCAAGATTTTAGCTTTTCAAAATCCTGAATTCAAGATTGTAGCCGATTTCACGATTTTAGCTTTCTAAAATCCTGAACTTAAGATTTTGGCCAATAATAAGATTTTAGCTTTCCAAAATCCTGAATTCAAGATTTTGCCCGATTTCAAGATTTTATATTTCCAAAATTCTCAATTCAAGATTTTGGCCGATTTCAAGATTTTAGCTTTCCAGAATCCTGAATTGAAGATTTTGGCCGATTTCAAGAATTTAGCTTTCCAAAAACCTGAATTCAAGATTTTGGCCGATTTCAAGATTTTACCTTTCCAAAATCCACCATTTAAGATTTAGGCTGACTTCAAGATGTTTGCTTTCGAAAATGCTAAATTCAAGATTTTGGCCTATTTCAAGATTTTAGTTTTCCAAAATCGTGAATTCAAGGTTTTGCCCGATTTCAAGATTTGGACCGATATCAAGATTTAAGCTTTCCAAAATTCTGAATTCAAGATTCGGGACGACTTTAAGATTTTAGCTTTCGAAAATCCTGCATTCAAGATTTTGGCCGATTTCAAGATTTTAGCTTTCCAAAATCCTGCATTCAAGACTTTGGCCGATTTCAAGATTTTAGCTTTCCAAAATCCTGAATTCAAGATTTTGGCCGATTTCAATATTTTAGCTTTCCAAAATCCTGAATTTAAGATTTTATTCCGCTTATTAGATTTTATCTTTGCACAATCCTGAATTCAAGATTTTCCCGATTTCAAGATTTTAGCTTTTCAAAGTCCTGAATTCAAGATTTTGGCCGATTTGAAGATTTTAGCTTTCCAAAATCCTGAATTCAAGATTTTGGCCGATTATAAGATTTTAGCTTTCCATGATCCTGAATTCAAGATTTTGGCTTATTTGAAGATTTTAGCTTTGCAAAATCCCGAATTCATGATTCTGGCTTATTTCTAAATTTTGGCTTTCCAAAATCCTGAATTCACGATTTTGGCCGATTTCTAGACTTTGGCTTATTTCAAGATTTTAGCTTTCCAAAATCCCGAATTCAAGATTCTGGCAGATTTCTAAATTTTAGCTTTCCAAAATCCTGAAGTCAAGATTTTGGCCGATTTCAAGATTTTAGCTTTCCTAAATTCTGAATTCAAGAGTTTGACCGATTTCAAGATTTTAGCTTTCCAAAATCCTGATTCAAGATATTAGCCGATTTCATGATTTTAGGTTTTTAAAATCCTCAATTCAAGATCTTGACCCATTTCAAAATTTTAGCTTTCTAAAATCCTAAGATCACGATTCTGGCCGATTTCAAGATTTTAGCTGTCTAAAATTCTGAATTCAATATTTCGGACGTTTTCAAGATTTTAGCTTTCAAATTCTTAATTCAA